ACAATTATAATATGCGGCTTTTACCCACGACCCCCACCTTTTAATTATAGGTTCCGTAGCAAATGAAAGATCAGGTGCTGATCAAAATTAAAAATAATTTTAAATTCAACGTTATTTTGGTTGTAAAATTAATTAAAAAAAAACGTATTGATAAAATTATAAATTATTTAAAATATGCATCTAAAAGTATAGAATGGAAGAAATATGCAAGTCCTCTGCCCTAGTCATGACTAACTTATAATAGTAGCTAGGGCATGTTAGATGCTTACATACTACACTCATAATTTGGAATATACTTTATAAAGAATTTTACAATATAAAGTTATGACCCTGATCTGCAGTTGTCTGCAGTGATAATATCTGTAGAAAATATTATCATAGTGGCGTATTTAATAAATTATTAGTTTTATTAAGACCCGTTTTTCAGTCAACGTCGACCTTCATTATTATTAAGGGCATCGGTGCGGCGGACAGTTATTTTAGCCAAAACATATCAATCTGTATTCGATGAGATCGGTCAGTACACGTTTCCTATTTTCAAAGGTAATGCTATTATTTACAGTATACTTACCAGTAACCATTGTCAGATAATAGATATATACGTTTAACGAAGCGATTTTTTTTTCATTCATATAAAGATTTACGTTTTACTTTTGTTAAATTTTCAAGTTTTCAGTAGAATTTCGTTACTGTACTAGTAGATTTGGTGAGTATACAATACACATATTAACTCTTATGGTCTGCTATAGAAATTACCATGGGCGCAGAGTGTCAATTGTTTAAACAATACTAAAAAATGTGAAATTTTCCTTAGTTTATTCTTTATTGAGTAACTAGTACAAAAAAAAATAAATTGTATCTTTTAAAGACGTAAATCGTAAATTATTAATCCTATAGATCATCATCAGTAGTATAATAGTATCTATAGCCGATTTAGAAACATCGTCCACTCGCCAAGGGTTAGGGTTAAGGTGAGGGTTAGGGTGAGTGGGTGGGGATTCAGAATCAGCTATTTTATACTACTATCATCAATCGAAATTGAAAAAATTGAAAATAACAATATTACAGTGTTGATATCGAGCGTTAACATATAATTATTTAAAAATACAAACAAAAAACGTGATGTTCCGGGTATATTGTGTATTTACACACGACTTAATTAAACACTTTTAAACGCGCCAGTAGATATTTTTATTACACTGGCCGCCCGGAGCCAGAACGAAGTGTGGAAATGACAAAAAAAAACCATAAGCATTATTAAACGACGACAGAAAATTGCACTAATCATCTAATTTTAAGGCAGTTCTAAATTTAATGGTCACAGAGACGTAACGATGCAAGACGAGACGGCGGCGGGGAAGGGACTGCGGACAACCGTCTGCTCGAGCCGTCATCTCGGCAAATGTAAGTATAGACGTTTAAGTCAAACACACAGTATGGACATCATATCTATATATGCGTGGAACGGCGGTGTTTCTCTGTTATCTATATTGGTACTATTGTGCTACATAACGCAATGTACATAAATATTTTTTTTGACGCTTTGGCCGAGCATCTGCGTGGCCGCCGACATAGGTAACCATCACTGATCGTCCATGAAATACAATCTCAAGTCCACGTGGGGTGATCAAATATATTGGGTGCAAATCTCCAGTACACATTTTTAATGTGGCGATTCCTGGGAGGTGGAGCACCCCAAACTCCTCCCTTTCGACGGTTTATGTCAATGAAATTCGTTAAAGATACAATCATGTTATGTATCTTTAACATTTTTAAACTACTATATAACGGACCCCATTGAACATGTGGTGACAAAATAATTTTAAAATGCTAATATAACCGTATGGTGAAAATTTCAAGTATTTACGGTTATTTGTCGATTGTTTTTGAATTACAACAAAATATAAAAAATCGATCGAGGAGAAATAGTTAATTTAAGCATGAATATCCTATGTCAAAAAAATGCCTATAAAAATGAATGTGATATTAGGCTTAAGTTTTTTTATAAGTAGAAAATTCTAACTTTAAATGCTGATGAAAAAATATTGTGATTATGTATTTTTGATATTTTTTAAATTTTATAATATGAATAACTATTATGAGCAACACTCCATTCAATTTTCCAACTTTTTGACCAAGCAAAAATATCGACAAATAAAGTAGAAAAAGCTACATAAAATTAAAAATGTCATAATATGTTTAAATTAGCTCAAAAAGCATAAAAAAATGTATCAACATTTTCAAGTATGTATCTACTGTTTTTGAGTTACCTACAAACCTTTACGCAAAATAACAATGTCGATTTTATCAAAAACTGGTATTGTATAAAAATTCCCCTGTTTCCTTAATTTTTTTTTTCAATTATTATTAAGAAAAGTATACTTGGAATTTTAAATTTTTACCTCTTAAAAGTACCAACTCACTCTGTTCAGAATCTAAAATTATATTATATATTATGTTCTAACACTATTATTATGATAAACAATTACAATAGTGATAATATTATAGTAGGTGTTATTATTGTCATTCACCACTTCAAGTTGAATAATATGATAAGTACAAATGTACATTTACCTGAACGAAATGGATAACAATAGTTCTGGTGGGAGATTGTCAGTGTCTAGATACGCCGCCCTAGATACGCCTATCGCTATTATAGGAGTTGGTCGGTGTATATTGTTCTGTCTTTCGTTATAATAGGTCGTGACGAGGACGAAATGTTTATTCCACATAATAACTAGGTATTTATGAGAAAATTCCATTGGCAGGAGACAATTTTTTTGAGTAGGTACCCATGACAGGCGACAGTGCATGATATTATAACATCACGTACACATTGAGTATAATATTAACCAAACAACACGTACCTATATAGTACCTGTATAGGTATGTATTATTGAGGTGTATTGTTAGGTTGAATAAATATATTTTTGCAACATTTAAAAATACTGACGTTTATTTACAATAAAATAAAATAATAATGATATTAGGTACTTATAATATTATATATTTTGAACGGTTTGATTTTTTTCATTTTTGGACACGACGTTTGTTATACAATGGTTACAATATCAAACTAACACAAACAATCATTTTTGGGAACATAGAACTGGTAGTAGTATAAATAAACAATGATGGACTAAAATATAAGTATACGCGATATACTTATACAGGTAAGTATTATATTATCTAGTAAAATTACATAATACGATGGACACAACAACGCGAGCCGCTTTCAGAATTAATACTTAAGTAATAAACACACTAGCTCCTCGATCACCGGAGAGAGGTATATACGATTTTCACATTAAAAATATAAATAAGTAAAAACAAAACAAAATCTCTAAAAAGTACAAACCTTAGAAAATTGATTATTTCGTTTTTACAATATATACGTCTCTCCGATGTTCTGAACACTTATATTTAACGATTATTGACTAGGTGCTTTTCTCTGCAGTATTGAACAACGTGGAGTACAAAAATCACTATATAATATTTTATTTCTTAGGAAAAAAATTCATTAAAAACCGTCATGGGAAAATTTAAAATCACCGCGTACGGATAGTAAATAAATAGTAATATTAGACAGATATCATAATGCTAATAATATTATAAGCATAATATATAAAACTAGTCAGGCACATTTAAAAATTACAAATTGAAAAAAAAAAATTGACACTTTAATATAAATTTGTACAACATAGGAAAACTAAAATATATAAACTTATTTGGTATAAAAAATTTATTTTTATTTTTACAAAAACATTGTTGCGTTTGTTAAGCACACGAGATTTCACGAGTTGGTATTTTAGATTCAGCGAGGGACGACTTTGGTGCGTATAGTAGTAAAAATATATTATTCGTCGTTAATCGGACTGGTATGAATATATTATTATTATTATTAATAATATCATAAGGTCGCGACGATTTGAAACGCTGCTGGCCTGTCAGTATATAGTTTGTCACGTACATTTTATACTATTCGAAATTTGGAATGTAAACAAATTTTTATATTGTCTAAACGCGAGTTATTAACATTTGACGGAGACGAACGAGTTTATCGTCATCTGTACATATTTTTACTGTACGTTATATTACATTATACAATATCATTCAGAATAAAACACGCGGCGTATATTATAACATATTATTAATATCGAGAAAGTACAAAACTAATAAACATATTTTTTTTATAACTCAAAAATGGCACGTTGCGGGAAGTCGACGGAAACAATATTTTATTATTACATTATACTTATATTATTATAATATTATTGTACATTTTATACGGAAGAATACTGAACGTTCACTGAATACCGATGAGTGATGCTGCTAAATATAAATAAATAATAAAAAACTGTCAATGCTCACCGAAAACCCTGAGTGGGCGGGGGTGGTGTAGGAAACGATAGACTGGCGCGGGAAATGAGCACACTTGGAGGCGGCGGCGGTGTGTGAAGATCCTAGACTTGGCGGGGGCAGACTTTACGATAATATTGTAGTTTTTCGGTGCGTATAATAATCAATAAGTATATATTCAATCATCATTATTATTATATTCGTTTATGGTAGGTATATATTATTATGAAATAAAAATATTATGATGGTCGCATGCATGGACGTACAGCTAAGAGGATATATATTACATAACACTAAAAAAATAGTATGAGTAATAATAGATAATATAAGTAAGTATAGTAGGTAGGCATAATATGATTGTAATATTATTAAGTTGTATTATTCGCGTTAGGATCAGGTGGAACGCTGACGATGTGCATTCGATTTCCTGTCAGCGGGGCCCGTACACGAACCGATCGCGGCCAACACAACATAATAATAACAATAAAAATATAGAAAATGATAATATAATAAGAAAAGCAGTACAGTGTTTGTATAAATATATGACAATAATAGTAATAATAACAACATAAGTGCGCATAATATAATTAATTATTGTTTTATTGTTATTATTATCATTATTAATATTATTATTATTACGGTTAATTGTCGTTAAAATGTAGGAACTCGTCTGTCGGAGCAGTGGCCGCCAAAGCCGCCACCGCGTCGTCGTCTTCGTCGTCGTCGGCACCGCCGTCAGCGTCGACAATCGACGACGGGGCCACGACCGTGGTAACCGCCTGCACAGCGACGACTGGTTCCAACGGCGGTGGTGGCGGAGCGCCAGTCTCCGATTTTTTCCCGGCCTTTGCGCCGTGTTGCCGCTGCGGCTTGTCGCCTTTGCCGCCTTTGCCGCCGCCGGCCGTAGGTTTTTTCGATTTCTTTTTCCGGCCGGCGGCATCCACTTTCCGGTGACTGATTTCGTCGCCGCCGTCGCCACACCGGTTGTTGTTCTTCTTGTTTCCGCCGCCGCAGTCTTCGTCCTCTCTGCTGCCACTGTCCCTGTTCCCGTCGTCCTTGTTCTTCTTCCGGCCGCCGCCGCCGCCACCGCCACCGCCTTTGACCTGGCACTTGCGGCCCAGGGACTTGCGGTTCTTGGCGGTGGCGTGCGGAGGCCCCATGTGCGGTGGACACGCGTGTTGGTGCCGGTGCGCGTGTGGTATGGACGCCGGCCACTCGGCCGACTGCAAAGGGCGCCGGTTGGCCAACAGCCGTTCCACCCTTTCCGCCGGCACCGGTTGCGTCAGCACCCGCGTGTACGTGGACAGCTTGCCAAGCGGCGCGTCCGCCTTTATCTGCACCTTGCGCGGCGTGCCCCGCTTGTTGAGCGCCAGGTAAAGGGTGCGCCGGTCGTTCGTGTACTTGACGGACGAGTACGTGTTGTAATGGTTCTGTTCGATCATCTCGTTGAACACGCATTCGTCCTCGAAGTCCTTCTGCAAAACAAATAACAGAAAACGTCAGATAATTGACAGTTGTATAATATACACTCATATATAGGTGTGTACATGTCATAAACACGGATCAAAGGCTCAATATAGTAATGACGGTAGCGGCCATTCGTGGACCATTTAGACAACCGAAACTAAAACTAATTCTGAAAATTATATAGTAAGCACCTATATAATATATAATTAGATACATTATTGATAATAGTACTGCACGTTTAAGCCCCGAAAGGGTACCTATTTAGGCCACGATTCGGGCCGTGGGTTTGGGCAGTCTGTAAGAGCTACTGCACTCTGCGTATATGCGATTCGAGATGGTTCGACGGTCATGTTGAGACGCGAGATGGCAATGATTCCCGTTTAACTCATAAACCGAACACCATAAACCGCTGAAACCACTTATGTGGTATTGAGCTACATATACGGCACCCTCCATAGAACGCCAACCACCATGAACGAATTACGATGTGCCGTTCTTTTGCCAGCGGCCATTAAATCGGATAGATTCCTGCCCCGAATAATCCTCCCCCAAGACGCTCTCGAAGAATTTTTCGCTGCACCAATAATATGGTAGAGAATTTAGAATATATAGTTTACACTTTACAGCCGTCTGATATTATAATGTACATTCTGCAGGCTATTGATTGGACGATAAACGAAACGAAAATTCAGTTTTTGGACGATATAAATTCCTAAATCGGGACGGTTATTATATTACTTATTATCGTCCAGAAAGCTTCCCTCTAGTTTTTTTGAAAGGAATTTCCATTTTGTTTATGACTATTGTTGAAGTAGACACGCAGTAGTAAGGGTGGCAATAAGAGTTCAAACTCCCCTTTCTGTTGGCGATATAGTCTGACCATTATTTTTTAGATTCTGAACGGAGCGAGGAACCAATGTATAACAATATGTGTGGTTATTTTTTTATTTTTATTTTTTGGAAAGTTTTTGGAAACCATATCTTGAGATATTAAATTAAATTTAATAGTTTTTATGAAAAACTTTATTTTATTCGAATTATTTACAAATCACTTCCAGTCAAATGTCCACATATTATGCTGTTGGTATACAAGCCTATAGTGGCGTACCTGCTTTTTGTAGAATGATGGAACTTAAGTCTGAACACAATAACAATTAAAAGCATACATTATAACTTGAACCTATACTTCGAACATTTTTTATTGAATGGTATGAAAAGTTAAGATATACGTGTATTTATGTAAATACTAACTAGGTACCTATACTTAATACTTGAAATTGTTGTTCAAAAACAATTTAAATACTTGTAGAGATAAATTAATCACATTTTAAAACGCCAAACATATTATATTATGCTGACTAACATTATGACCAACGCAACGCAGGTAGGTATATATAATATATAAAGATAAAAACTATGCGTATATCTACCAACTAATTATTATTCACGAAAACATTTGTTTTTCATTAAATAAAATATTACCAGTATTGTTAGTAATGGACATATTATACATATATACAACGATAACCGCAATATTTAACTATTTGTCATTTGTTTAGTAATATAACAATAATTATTATGCTACACTAAACGGTAAAACGTTATCTGCGCTTATATTTTAAAGGTCTGTTATCGACAGAAAATTTTTTTTAAAATTGACGGACGCAGTTCATGCGTGAAATTAAGTGACCTGGTAGAATTTTTCCGCACGAACCATTTAATCGGTATATATATATAGGCGACGTTGTCTCAAATTCGAAACGGGTTTGGTAAATTTCGTACCACTGCAGCCCACTTACACGTATTATATAGGTACACCACTCACGTCTCTCTCGGTAATACATTGAGTTCGGTATTAATTTCGTCCACATTATTGCATGTGACTATTCTTCAATTCTCTGAATAAAACTATACAGGTATATAAATACAGAATCCGGTACCCTGTTTACAGAATTCTGTACGACGTAGATACTTACGACGAGACCAATCATTAAATAAAAAAAAACGTACAGTGTTCGTATTTTTGTACAAAGGCCCGTTATCTTCAACGTGCCTATACATATCAGTGAATATGAATAGGCAATCCACCGCAATACCATTTATAAAATGTTATTTTTTGAGATGTGCACAAAAATTAGGACTCTAAGGTCCGTTATATCCGGACGTATTGTCGCTTTCACTATAATGATCGTATTATTGTATTATCGTGTTTTTCACGAAATTAAACAGTTCTGCGTTATAGTATATATATGAATGGAAATTTGTTAAAAGAGACCAATCTATATTTTCAACTACTTTTAAGGAGAGACAAAAAACAGTTTTCCTTTATATCTATTTGGGCAATAAGATCATCACAATCATCACAATTTAGATTAAATAGTATTGTATAAAAAATAAATAAAAAATAAAAATTTGTACTTTTATAAATAATGTGTTTTTGTAATGTGACATATTTACCTTTAAACAAATTCTAATAATTTTATTAATTTAAGGCAGCGGTTCCCAAACTTTTTTAGCTCACGGCGCCCTTTTTGAACTAAACTTTTCTCAAGGCGCCCTTCCCAAGACATAGCATGAATTTATTTTTAGACCAGGTAAATTTCTACGGTGACGCGGCGCCCCTTACAAGACATCGCGGCGCACCAGGGCGCCGCGGCGCACAGTTTGGGAACCGCTGATTTAAGGTATCATAATTTAATATAATAGTCACATTTTAAAATAATATAATACCTTCTTATTTATTTTATCCAATTAAATAGATAAAAATGCAACTAAATAACAAAATTTGAATACAACCAAATGAATAACAATCTTAAAAAAACAATATTTTTTTTATAAAAATTAAAAAAAAAGAAAAACTTATGTACCCAATTGTATTGAATCAGTCTTTTATTTACAAATTATAAGCATATAATATGTGTTTACATAAGAGGATGAATAATATACAACAAAACTATTTTTGTCAAAAATGTAACTTGGGTCCCTTTTAACGAATTCCCATTCACATATATAACAGCCGAAATGTACATTTAATCCTTTTTATTAGAGAGCAAAAAAATAAAACACATTAAAATAGCTTCACGTACTTCGAACAGAGGGTACTACTTATTTTAATAGAGCCATCGCATGGACATAAATGAATGGTTAAATAGATGAGAATGTGTAATTAACATCATTAAAACCAAAAAAAAAAAATAATAATAATGATAAAGACAATACGTGTGTAGTGTAGTATAGTGTGTAAACAAAATAACATCGTTCTTACTAATAGCCTCTTTACACCACTTTAATTCTAAAATTACTTTAATAGATTTTCAATGTATTGATTAATTGTGAGTTTTATTGTCATCAATGGAATCAGAAATAGAATATTTGTTTATCTGAAAATAGTGCCATCACTTAACTTTTGAAGTTGAAAGCGTTTGAATACATAGTATTTATACTGATGGTTATTTCTTTCAACAGCGGGATCGCAATGAACCATATTCCAAATAACTCAAACGCAGTTTTATTCTACGAATACATTTTTTTTAAAGGTTCTTTATACATCGCTAACTGGCGTAGAATAAACGGTTAAAACTATTTTTAACACTGTTCCGCGTGGGCAAAAATAATGAAAATTTCACCATACAATCTAAAGTACAATTTTCCAACGTTTGTGTGTGTTACATTTTATTGTGTACCTATACGGCTATACTTATAAATTATAATAGATCACAAATACTATTTTAACGTTTGTTTAATCGCGTGGCTCAGAATTCAAAGTGCACTGAAAACACAGTATTGAACAATTGCCAATTAAGTCGTTTTGGAGCTAGTAAAAATGTATCTTACTAGTTGTTATAATGACATATTATGGTCCTATAGTTTTCACACAATTAAATATTAAACATAATATAGATAACTATTTACTATACTTGTATGTACAATTGATACACGTAGTAGGAAAGTAAGTTTAATAAACAAATAAATAAATATTAATCATACAAATTCCATACGTATCTATAATACGATTATTACGAATTTCAATTAGTCATTAAAAATATGTACATAGAAAATATATACCTACTTTCGTTCATTGGTCAATATTTTGACAATACATTATAAGTAATTAATATTTTATTCTCATAACACTTCAAATTACTCTCATATTATATATTATGCGTGCAATTTATGTATAAATGACTGTTTGCTTATAATTATGAATTTTCAGTTTATACATTTCTTTTACTAGATCTCAATGGATTTCAACACGTCGTTTTGGTATCACCTTCGATAAAAACGTTTAGTATCAATGGCGGCGTGTCAAAAAAAAAAAAACTTTTGAAATATTGGCAAGGACCCTAAGTGTCTGGCTTTCTTCTCTGGTGTTTAATTTTAGAATACATATAGGAAACAACCCTTTTTTGATTTCGTACACGAGTTTTTAAGTAGTATTATAATTGAACTATTGAGTATCATTCCACTTTCAAACAGAATACTAAAAATGTCCATAGCTTATTAACGTAATGTTTTTGCAAATAAGGTATTAAAACATTTAAATTTAAATAAATAAACACAGGTAGTATTTATAAAAATTGAGCAAATAAAAATATAGTATAGTTTAGTTAAAATCGTCAGTAAAAATAAAAATATGATGATCAAAGTATCCAATTAGTAAAGTATTGTCATTAATAACAATGCATACATTTCACGACTATAATTAAATATTAAACGGCGATGTATTAAAATAAAATATAAAATTTAATAAAGTTAGTATATAAACATTAATTTTAGAGGCTAAAAAAGTGTATGAATAAAATGTATTATGATCATAACCAAAAATACCGATAAAATCTATAGTAATATATATTAGGTACCTATTACACATTTATATTATTTTTAGTAGTATTTAGTCATTTAGGCTTAAATAGTATTAACATGTTTTATATTCACGTCTCTCAGCCTCTGTAATGAATAAAGACTAGAGATTCATCCACTAAACACCATACATCTATAGACTATATTA